AGCGATCTATGTCAGTTTGGATGGGACTACCTCCGATTCCCACACTCCAGTTAACACGTCTGTTACCCTACTCAGTGATTATCTACTTCAGTTTTTAAAGACATTCTGGCGGCGGACCGTCAGATTCTACTGCTTTGGATCGTTCTAGGTTTGGAACAGCGTTCCAGACCTCAAACAGATTTGGATGACCAGCATCTATGTTCCTCTCAGATTTCAGTCCGATGTTAGGCCATTGAAGCGTTGCTGCGGTTCAGTTCAACTGTTTTGTAAAGTGTACCTTACAATGTACCAACCACTTATCCTTAGGGGTTATCAGTGATGGTGATAATGGTCTCACTAACCATCGTCTTTTCCTGTCAGTATCCCTTATAAACCTACAAAACTAGTGAGTATTGTCTATGGCTGGTGTCTCCCCTAATTATTTCGCTTTCTTCATCTGCCACGGCTCGTGGTCGCCGTGAAGATTTAGCCGATTCACGTTTGAGCTACTTCCTCTCCTCATTGAGATCAGAGCCAGCTGGAAGGGATTGTCTTGCGCCAATCAGTTCGGATGAAGTTGTAGAAATCCACTGGCTTTTGCTGACCTCTGAATGTAGGTTATAGACTGTCGTCACCACTGTTTCTGCAACACACTGAATATCACGCCAAGCTTCATTAGGATAAGAATTACCATGTTCAGATGTGTTTTGCGACCTCCTCCGGGACTGCAAAGTTAACTTTCTCAACTTTTATGCACCCTTGTAACTGAGAACGTAGGATAATTTGCTACATGAATCATCTCTAAATCAATTTTTTCGAATTTTCGGTCCCTCTCTTCAGTTTTACAGATCATCGTACTCTTCTTGATAAGCATTCATGTCTCATCAGTGGTTCTGTTTAAGTATTCAAATAGGTGAATATTGCCTTAGCTGTTTACTTTACTCTTGTCGTTTACTAGCGCAAAGATTTAATAGATGGTATTACGAAAACTCGTTACTGCAATTCTTTTGTGTGTAAGCACAATTATTGCTTAATAAAAATGCTATGTTTATTCACTGATGTGAAGATTTCCAACTGGAACTCTTTAAAAGATATTTCCTCTTCCGCTTAACTTCACCAATTTTCTCATTAACTTATGGGTACGTCCTCTCTTAAATTATTGAAGCGATGATTGATTTTATTTTTGTCATTCTAACTGAACACTTAACTCGTTATATCTTACCTATTCCAGTTATGCATATAACTTTCATACTTCTTGTATAATCTTAAATGCTCTATGCGTGTGCACTTCATCCCTTTATTGCATTTTCAACTGATGTTCACTGCTATTGTCTATCTAATAGTTTGTGCCATTTATTCTATATTTAATATCCAACTAAATCAACTTCAGTCGCAGCTACAACCTTGGTCTTGAGATTGAGTTAGCCCATGGTAATCATCCTTCCAATCTATTCTACCGGGGGACGTCGCTCATAGCCTTACTGTGTTACAGAAATCAAATGAAGGACGATATTTAAAGCAGCCAACTTTAATAGTCTCATACTCAAAATATTAAGTAATAAGGTCTGAAGATCAAATTATACAACTGACTTCATGGGGTATCAGTAGCTAGGTGTTCTCCTAAGATAACATGCATTTCAAAGCGATTTTGCCTTCCTATCTTGGGAAAGATGAATCAGAAAAACCAACATATTCCTCTTCACTTCCCATGCCGGTTGCAATTTCTTTTTAAAAAGTACGAACTCAACGCAATTAAAGCTGGCCACCTGTAACTGATCGATAACACCATTCGTATCAGTCTACTTTTTCCAATTATCTGAAGAATAAATATCCTTCCATAGTCTGTTTAGCCGTGAAGTATCAAACCGCTTTCACACCTGTCATTATCGAAGTCTTTTCCAAACACACCAACTTTTATCGTCGTCTTCTTAATTTCCTCCAGATTTCTATGCTAAAAGTTCTACATCCAACTTTTCAAGCTTTGAAGCCCGTAAATCGATTCTGCTGCACGGAAGAGTGTGCTTCCTTGCCGAAAACGCACGTTATAATACATGTAGTAGCTTTCAATGTCTGAATTATTCGTCAAGTCGGATCGTTAACCTCAGTATCTAAAACTCCAGAACCTCAGACTGTGAATGTATGCTGTTTCTAAAACGCAGGGTCTAAATGTGGTTATTCACTTAACCTCATGTAGCCAGTGTGGTTAACATTCAAAGTATTCAGGAGCTCTTTAAGTGTTTGGTCTCTTGCAGGTGTTAGCATAGCTTTTAGTCCTAAAGTAGAAAGTATAGTGTTAAAACGATTTCAAGTCCTCTCTTTGTAATTTATACTCACGCACCCACTGACTGCGGTTTCAATAAAGTGAAAGATGAGTTTTAGAAAATGTTGCACAATGTTTGTAGCTTAGGATATAGATGTGTAGATTGAGTTTTACCGAAAGCTATGCAATCTTTTACTAGGAGTGAAACGCTACTATGTAATCGTGGTGGGTGGCTTCGGTGCACAAGTAGGAGGGTTGAGTTAGACATAAAGGTACTTAGATAGTACTTTCGGAATCCCAGCAGAGTGAATAGATAACGGGTTTCAGATAAAGATAAACATTATCTAGTGTGACCACCACCAAGCTCAACTCAAAGGTGGATACAAATAGATGCTGCGTTATTACTGAAAAGGGTTTGTGGTAGATTGCCACCTCTTTCGGGACACGTAATCAGATGACGATCTCGCATTGGTTCGAGCATGCCTGTCTCCATCTAAATGGATGAAGACTACGACTGGTAGGCGTTTCTGACCTCGCAGATGGAGATATTAACGCTGCTTTTAGAGAGGCTAGATATTTATCGGGAGATAAAAATGCTACTCATCTGAAAGTAGCCTGGCTTTGTCTCCAGTCTGTTGTAAAGACAGGCATTGAAACGTACCAGCCGTCAGGCAAGGGTTAAAAGGGATCAGTGGATCTTAACAGCTTTATTCAATCTAATGAATGCACAGTAAAGCACTTAAGCAGGCTCGGAGAACAATAAGGAGCAAAAATAGTTTAAATGTAGACTGAAGAAGTCTTTGCAATTACTATGAGCCTAGGTAAAAAGAGAAGGTAAGATAGATGATAGGCGACTATAGTTGGTTTTCTAGACTTAAAAATTGAGGTAGAGAGTGGTTGGTGAAGCTATAGCGGGTAAAGGCAGGTCACCAGTCCACTTAGGGAAGGGAAACTGGTTTTAATGGACTAGCACCACAGCTATTTAAAAACGGTGACTCGAGATTAATAGTAAGGCTGATCCCGTTGCTAGCTGCTGGATGAGAAAGAGGTATATTTCCTATAACTGGTCTCATTTTCCGATTGTCCAGTTTTCAAGAAAGGGAAGAAACACGCTTTCTCCGACTATATTGATCGTCTATTTAATTGTTCTTTAATCAATTTAAAATGTGTGGACGTTACTTTCCTCTTACATTAAGTTTCTGATAATTAGTTAAGTCTTCTGAATATTTTAAGCGATAATTTCTGAATGCTTAAACTACACTTCTTGAGGTTGTTCTCCGTTAGTACCATATCTGAAAATAACAAGTGTAGTAATTGCGTGGTCTACTTTGCCTACGTGGGAACTCGTATTGACTCTAGTGGACTGATGGTTGACGAAATTTCGGCACATTTGTATATTTTGACTCGTCTTCATCAACGTCCATAGCCTGAAAAACTGTGTTAGCTTCAAGTACGTTGTGCAACAGTGTGCTTTTTCTTTCTGTATATTTAATTTCCCTTACTTTCTTCACTTCGTGGTAGGATTATCGTGCAAGCTGTATATTCCTTATACATAAAATTGTAGGTAAACGGTAAATTAGTTCATTGGTGATGTTAACTTTCGTTGATTGAGGTGGTTAGGTTATGTGCCTATCCCAACGCACAATGTTAACTGGAAGAAAGCTTAAGTTGATCTGAGCAAGATACGACAGTAATCCATAGGGTTTTTAATTATTGCTGTGAGCCATCTCAGGCGATTACCGGTCTTCTTAGTTGGTATCTACAAAACAAGTAAAATCGATGGTTAAAGACTAGGTGGTATGACTCGAAATTGATTGCAATAATGTAGAAGCATTCGTACTATATTTTCATGCAAATCATATCATATTTCATTCCACCTGCCTTTTTTATTCGCTTTGCTGCATTTTACGAATGGTTGTATTCATTTCATTCTCATTGCTCATTTTGGCTTACACTTTTATGTACTGGTATGAAGTGTAGCAACTGGAATCGTTACCTCAAAATTCTAGATCCTGCTGTCTAACTTATTACTCCTTCAGGTTGGTATTCATCATGGACATCAGTTGGAGATGTCAGTTCATGATGAATACCAATCTGAAATCAATAAATTCCCTCACAATCTTCTAAACTGAGTTACTACTTATTAGATAAATGATACTTAGTAGTGTTTTGTTTAGGTTGCATTTTCATATTCAAGTAGCAGTTTATTCTATCAAACTTGAAAAACAGTGTTGCAAAAATAAGTCAATGGCCACTTTTTCAGTCATCTTCATCACTTAGCTTGAGTTTAGGAATAACCATGTTTTGGGTACAACCCTCCTCTGATTGGTTATTATTTGGGTGTCTTGTATCATTTTCGCTCATCAGTCCTCCAGCATTTTATGGACGTTCAACCAGTCGGAACTTCGCTTCCTTGCCAGTCTTTATATTTCCTAAGGCTGGAACCCTTTCACCGACCTCTATTTATTTATACTTTCTCTCCCCATACATCCTTGACTAATTTCACATCACTTTTTCTATCCACTCTTTCTTTGCATGCTGGTATGAAGTGTGGCAATTTGAAGCGACGCACCTTTTTGCAAGGTTTCCTGTTCATTTTGTTTGTCTATAAGAGTCAGGTATGCTGGAAAGTTATTCTAGTCGTACCTGCCGCATTTTCTGTAGATAATAGCTTGGAAATTACTTGAATGATGATTTCAAAATAAATATGTATTTGTCCTCACAACTCATAGTAATAAGTGTTTTTAAAACTACTCTATAGGCTATAAAATATCTTTCCGGTAAAATATATTAGTCTTGTGTATTAAATCGAGCCAATGGATTCACCCACTTGGAGTCCTAATGATTTTTCGCACAGTGATAATAAAGACTTGCGCGCTAATCAATGGATGGAGCAACTTATTGGAAAGCTTAATATTCCTCCAGATATTCAAGATGAGCCTTTATTCCAAGAAGCTGTTAAAGAGTTAGCCTCCTCTAATTTTGAAAACTTATCTTCTGGAGTGCATCAGTTACGAACCATATGTGATGTTCTTAAGAATAAGGCTAAATCATTGGCTGCAGAAAATTACCACATATTCCTAGCTACAAAAGATGCAAGTCAGGATATCTTGGATAAGACTTCTGAAATGTTGAATGCCAATCAGCTCCTTTTATCACAAATCACTGAGCTTTTTCAATATTCCAGTGACTTTTTGTCCAAAGCTCGTTCTATTGAAACCTCTCTTAAGAAGAACAGAAATGCTTTGGAAAACCATACACAGGTAAACAATTCCTCTCATTTCGGTTATAATAAAATATCAAGTTATTAGAAATAATTGAACTTCCACAATTGATGCAGACATGTGTGCACAATGGCCATTTCGATGACGCAATATCTATTTTTACTCATAGTAAAAAGTTGTTCAGTAAATATGGATCGAATAATCCCGTTTTACAAATGATTCATGCTCAAGTATCTGCAGTTGGATCACAGTTTGTACATCAGTTGTGTGATCAACTAAGGTCTCCTATATCTTTACCTTCATGCATCAAGGTATGTGCTTTTTTAATGTTATTTTGGTTGTTTTTGTTCACACAGATCCACTGTGGTCTGCAGCTCATCAGTCTAAGCACTCTATTTTTAACCAATGGGTTATGGATTCGAACTCTGTTGGAATCTGTGTGAACAGTTAATATCGCTAGTCCTAAGGGATTAGGTGTGACTCATTACTGCACGACCCTACACGTAGTTTCTGAGTCTCATTTAGATTTTTGATTTCATACTGATATGTCAATGACATTTTTATCCAACTATCACACGTTGTTGAAAGTTCAAACGAGGCATCTTTATCATATTTCCACTGCAGACTATAATTTAAGTTAGAATTACAGCTCATTGATTTAGTTACTCAACCTCTAGATTAAGGTGATCCACTTGTCATGATTCGAATGTGAAAACAGTATCACTAGCCATCACAAGTGTTATCATGCGAAGACTACTGTTGCTGTCCATGGTTGGGCTAAATTATGTTTTACATACTTATTTCGTTCTGCTGGAGTTTGCCCTTTTCTGTTATTCAGTCTAAAGCGTATTTGCAGTAGCTTTTTTTGCTGCAAGAGTTGTATCATGTTAAGTTTAGTGTGCAGTCAGTGAATAAACCATAGTGAGATATTAGTTTAACTTGCTGTTTATGCTTTTGTAGTAGGTATGAAAGTTTGGTAAATACACTAATTTTATGGTTATGGGGTTAGAAGATCAATAGAAGTGAAAAAAATTGTTTCTAAGGCTTCTTAACTTATGGTTGTTGTAATGGCGTTAACATTTCCTAATTCATGGATTAAAGTTATTTTCAGTATCATCTACCCGCCTTAATCTTGACATGGTAATAAAATCTCACTTCATAGTTTTCGTCTACAAACAGACATTCATAACGTAATTACTAGATACTACAACTTACGTCAACAAAGCGAGAGAAAATTAAGGAGTAAAAAGCCAGGGAAAATCTTAACGGTATGGGAAACAATATGAAAAGAAAAACTGGTGTTTAATAATAGGTTATCCACCGTTTAACTTTGAGCTCTGTTTATTCTCTAAATAACTAACTAACTATTTAGCATACATCTTTATATTTGGCTAACAAAAACAGTACGTGAGTTCGTGAATTTTTGTTATGTTAATGATAGATTCCTGTTTAGGTTTTACTCAGGTTAGAATTACACATCGCTTTAGATGATGCTTCAGAAAAAGAATATTCAATTCAATAGATACGTGTCTATATACCAGTTATATACATTAGCCTAAATCAATGTTGAAAATGAAGACTACTGAATGTTCATCAAATCCTTTAGCATGAAACAAATTTCACCATGCAACGAACTATCTGGTTAATCATTCCATTCGTTATATGGTTGTTATCTTTACATCCGAAGTATACTGTTTTTCAGCCATCGTTTTCAAATTTATTCTTAAATGTATCTTTGTTTTGCTCAGTTGTTTGTTACTAATTCAAATCCTGGTATGTCTGTATCGTCTTGAGTCGCTAAACAGCTGTTGCCACCAGTTGTCCTTCAGTGCATGTATGATACAACCATGCTGAAAACGTGCGCATCGCCAATAATAATAATAATAATAATAATAATAATAATAATAATAATAATAATAGTAATAATAATAATTCACTTTATTCCACTTTATTCACTCTATTGCTGGTTATTTTCAGCGTTCAGACCTGAATGCAGATCAGATAACACACACATTTGGTTAGGACTCTAAAAAATCTCTTTTTATGCTTACTCAAATTCAGAGATCCATTTACAAAGTCTCAGTGAAGTGCTTCGATTAACTTTCCCATCTGTCAGCTCATAAAGTGTATTCACAGTGCACTTACCCGGGGACTTTAAAGTTTCCACAGCTCGCCTTTTGGGTTTTGATATCACACTAAGACCCAGAACTGAAGCTGCATTAGTTGAGTGAAGTCCTATCAACAATTGTTTGTGTGCTGCTATGCTTGAAGGTTCGGTTGGGGTAAGAAATGATAGACAAGGTAAAAAAGTTTCTTCGTCATCTCTGTTCTGCCATCAGTTGAATGACCTGTACCACGTGTGCCCGACAAATGTCGTAATACTATCTAGAAACTTGAATGCATAGGTCGGGTGTATAGGCTCAGAGGAAGAGTTGTTTCAGTGGTTAATGGGAATTAGTCAGTTGCAGGCCAGATAGTGAGGAACGTTTCCTGTAGCTCTGCTCAGATCACAGCTGGTTTCTAGGCAACTTTTGGCACAGCTATCGCCGTTGTACTATCAGTCGGTAGCTGCTACCTTGACGTGGTTGTCAGATTTCAATATCACAGTGACCCAGCGAGCTACACTGGCTGAAACGCTTATTCGCTCGAGGTCCTACCATACGTGGAAGGTCTTTTGGATAGTGGTAAAACGAAAAGTAGTTACCGTTGTAGTTTAAATTCCTACTCTATGATGGGGGGGCGGGGGGTAGAAGGGCGAAGTCGTAATGGTGGCTAGATGGGGTTTGACAGTAGTATGGTGTTCCCCTTGAATAACCAACAGTACCGCGTTCATACTGCCTTTTCTATGGGAAGAGGATTTAGAAAAGGCCAGCCCCAAAAATAGTATATTCCATGCCCCACGGGCTTCCAGTGCGGCAGTATGGATTTTCTCTATCCGGCGTTAGAACAACAAAATCTAAAAACGACAACTCTCAAAAGGTTGTGTGACAGGCCTCAAGCAGATGCCCCATGGGCTCTGCGGTCACACAAATCTTTCTCTTTCATGTACCTTAGGAAAAAATAGTCTTCTACGGTATGTGAAGTCGGGAAGTACCAGCCGCCGGCACGTTCCAAGCAGCACACAGGACCCAATCAGACAACCTATCTCCTCCTTTTCCTTCGCCTCGTGGTACTAATATCAAGCCTCTTACACCTTCTCCAACCTCATTCCGCAGCCATCTCGAACGACCGAAGCCATTGCAGCCTCCTCATTCCTAGTCACCTAAGACACAGTCATCGATTTCATGTAGAAGCTTTCAACTTCCGAACTGTATGCCAAATCGAACAGCAAGCATTGCTCATCAAAATTTTGGAATCTCTAGCCATGAATGTATGCTGTGTGTCTGATACACGTATACAGAACCTGAGTGTGGTTATTAAATTCACCTCACTTGACTAGTGCGATGAATCTTCAAAATTTACGTTGCCCGTATTCGGTGGACGCGCTGGTGTAGGCATAGCATTGAGCTTTAAGGCAGAAAATGCGATTCTCGACTAAATACCAGTCAACAGCCGTCTGTGTTCTGTTCGAATGAATGAATCTGAAAGAAATATGAAATATCGTGAGACCAACCGATTATTATTTGTAATCTTCACCTACACATCCACTGACTGACTGCAGTTCAAATGATTTTATTATTATTTGTCCCATGGGTTCCTAGTGGAACGTAGGGCTTCAGTAGCACGTCGTCATTTCATTCGCTTCTCTGCCCTCTTTTTATCCTGGCTCCACGACTTTCATTTCTTCCTCAAGTGATCTCCTGCATGTCACCCTCGCCTCGGAAACCCAACTCGGCGTTTCCCCTTTGGATTCCACTCGAGAGCATGGCGTGTGATGTCCTCAATCGGCCTTCTTAGCGTATGCCCAATCCAACCCATCTCCACTTTTTTCTGCATATTTGTTGGGTGATAGGTTCTTGGTTGGTTCGTTGGCAGGTCAGAGTTCCTTGTTGCTTATTCTTCCTGGCCATCTGATCTTCAGTATCTAGTTAGTGTAGGCAGCAGATGTTAATGTATGGCTGCAGTTTGTTGGAAATGCTTTTCGTAACGCACCAAGTCTCTCAACCATATAGAAGCACTGAGTTGATGTTGGCGTTGAAAATCTCGATCTTGTTCTTTATGATGAGTGCAGAAGATCACCACACTGGTTTCAGGTTAATGAAGGCCTATCTTGCTGTCTGTCCGGTCCTGGCTTTGACGTCCTCATCTGTGCCACCTATAGTTGAAACGATACTGCCTAAGTAGGTGAAGGCTACTACTTCCTTTAGGTTTCTTCCATTCGTGCTGATTGGTGCTTGTTGTTGTTGGTTAGGTATCTTCATCACCTCTGTCTTCTCTGCGTTCACCTGAAGGAAGTCGTATCTTCGCTGCCCTGCTTATTCTGTCTACTTGTTGGTTTCTGCCTGTTGATCTTCGAGCTTGTGCGACATTAGACATAAATCATCATCGGCGAAATCCAAATCTTCTAGGCTCTTTTCATCGGTCCAGCCAGCGTATGCCCATCTTCTCGCTAGTCACAATTTGTTGCGTGATCCAGTGTACCACAATCAGGAAGATCATTGGTGATAGTAGGTGGCAACCTTGTCTTACTCCTTTCTTCACTTCAAAGGCGTCACTGAGCATTCCATTGTGAATCACTTGGCATATAGTGTCGTCATATAGCTGTTGAATGAGGCTGATAAAGGTTTGTGGCACTAAAACCGTAGTGTTGAAGTAACTGCCAAATTAGTCCTCTGTTCACGCTGGCGAAGGCCTTTTCAAAGTTGATGAGGTTTAGTTGAGTTGGCTGTCATTCTATACTCTGTTCTGTGATGATGCGTAGCGTAGCGTTGCAATTTGATCCACATATGATTTGTTCTTCCTTCCTGAAGCCAGCCTGTTCCGGTCGTAATTTTGAAACCAGTGCATTGTTTAGTCTCTCCAGGATGACGTGGCTTGATATTTTGCTTAGGATGGATAGGAGCATGATTCTACGCCAGTTCTTGCAAAGACTTAGGTCTCCCTTCTTTGGGAGTTTGACAAGGTAGCCCTCTTTCCAATCGGCAGTTCGAATGATGCAAAGGATGAATTCTATGAGCTGTCAATTTTGTTACAGAGAGCAAAACGTTCAGATGTAGTCATACATAGTAGCAGGTGACTTTAACGCTCAAGTAAAGAAGCTGAGCTGAGCCAATCGAAAAGGTAACTTGAGAGCATTTGCGGGATCCGTGTCAATGAACCAACAACAGTGATCGTCTGTTGTAATTTGTTTCGTCTATCTCTTGTTTTTGGCTAGCACTAACTTTAAGTATAAGGATTGACACTGTCTCGCATGGTGTCCGCCGACATCAAACCAACGATGTGTATTTAAGTGTGTATTTAAGGAGGTTTTAACGAGATATTCATGTGAACGTGAAAGCAATACTCATGTTGAGGAGACCTGGTGTGATATTTAGTCTGCTGACGAAACAGCGGTAATGACCGTTGGTAACTCACACTTGAAGGCTGTCAAACGTCACTGGATTTCAGGAATATCATCTGAAGTGTCCGATGCGAGAAGATAGATTACAGCTGGCTCTGAACACGATGAAAAGCGGAAGCAACTTAAACGTAAGTTGACCAAGAGTCTTAGCGTCGGTCTCTACTCGTGTTTGGTGGCGAGAGCGAAGGAGTTGGAGAAGGCATCAGCGTTGGGTAACATCTAGTAACTAATTAAACCTGTTGTGGATATCACCAAGAAGAAGGAAATAGTGGATGAAACGATCCCCGTATAGGGTGAGACGCGATAACATCCCAGGATGGGTGGCCAAGCTGTTGGCTCTAACATTTTGAAGGAGACTGATCTATTTCACTGATCATCCCAGTTTATAAGAATGGGGACATATAGGCATTTGCCTGATTGTGTCCAAGATCCTGGGGTCCATAGTTATTTGACGCCTAACTAGAGCTCGCAAACAGCAGACTCAAGAGAACCAGTAAGGTTTCAGAGTTGAACAAGAGTACGTCGATCATATTTTCACCTCCAGGCACAAGAATACAGACATACTTACCAGCCAACGACCGGGATTCCATATTTCTTGACCTGAATTGAAGACTAGTTATGTCACCAGGGGTGCTCGCTGTCGCCGTTTCTGTTTAGCTTCGTTGTAAATGTACTATTGGACAACCTTAGGTAATTCTGACTTCCCAGGGATTGCTATTCACCATTGAGGTCATCTGGTTGGCTTGTATTGCGTAGACAATATTGTCGTTCTATGTAATGACACTGGCAAAATGCAGGATTTTGTTAATGTGTTGAACAGAAATATTTGGCATGCTTCTTGCATCTGTCAAATGTGAGATGATGTCCCAAGACTGGTCTGCTGCAGGTACTCCCAGTTTAATATTAGAGAATGAAGTGATGAAATGTGTCGACCACTTCACTTACTTAAGGAGTTGCATCAGCTCGAATGGGTTGGTTGCTGACGAAATCTCAGCTCGGATGCTGAAGTTTCGTTAGACGTTTGCCAACTTGCTTCAGTCACTGGCATTGACTGGCGAGATATCCGACTATTTGTCGAATGACCAGTATACAGCTCTGTAGTGTGTTCTGCCCTGTTATACGGCTGACATGGCCGTTGAAAGTAGAAGACGTGAAGCGGTTTCAGGTTATTCATTAAAGGTGTCTTCGTAGGATTGTTCACGTTTGGTGGAATCACCGTGTGAGCAATGTTGAGATCTGGCGAAGGATACTATGCAAGACACAAGTCAATTGATGATAAAGCTGTGAGCCATAGTCGACCGAGGTGGCTTAGATATGTACTGCGCATGGCGAGACACTGCTTACCTTGACGTGCCAAGCTAGGAGAAGTTGGATTATGTTGGAAGAGGGTTCAGGGTGGCAGAACCAAAATGGCACCCGTCCATGGAGTCATTTTTTGTCAATATGAGTTGTGTGAATAGGTGCAGACTACCTGACTTGGACTCCTGTGACGAAAAGAATCAGTAGTTGATGACTTGGTGAAGTGGATGAAAATCGGTCATAGTAGAGCAGATGTATTCACTCACTGACGTCTTCTAAAGCTTAAATATTTGCTCTAACCGTTGTCTTCAGATTGTTTATTCTCTCACACCACTTTTTTTTACTGAAGGATGTGTTTGGTAGTGATGTAGATCTATTACTAGGTGGAACTTTTGAGTCTCTAGTATGCGGAAGATGCTTATTACTGTGTGACAACATGCAGGCTACTTGAATCGCCTTTGGTGGCCATTGTCCGTAAGTTTGGTATATACTGTGCACCATCGAAGTTCAAAGTGCCTCCGCAAGACTGACAGAAGTGTATACCTACACTTACTTTTGATTTGGAGTCACTAGAAGTTGTCGAAAGTTTTATTCACCTATGTAGTTTTCCAACCGTATATTGAAAGCTAGAGTGGTGTACTCCAATCTTTCCCACTCTTGACGCAGTGGTCATGTTAACATTGCTGTATCTGGTAGGGTACACAACGTGTCAGTACTAGCAGTTTTGTTCTACACCTGTAGAACCTTGCCTTCAGAGTTGAGGTTGTTCGACAACTCTGGGTTTTCGATCACTGTTTTCTGTTTAAGATCGCTTGTATATGGGGGGGGGGACACCATTTAGGTAATTCTGAGGTGAGGCAGCGTGCTGGTTCGAACCCGACGGAAATTATCATCCATTGAATGTAGTCATCTTGAAACACCGGCTTTAAAGGCTTGTACATGTGTTACGCATGTCGTTCCAGCGACTCAGACGCCGCTCACTGTTTACTAGTTGTTGGACTGGTTGGAAGAAGCGAGGAGATGGACCAGTGTTTGACGTGGTGCCGTGTGACTAAGGAGCATGTGTTGGGTTAGCATCTATAAGTGCTTCTTAATTTGGGCCCGAGAGAGAATGCGACTCAGCGGCTAGAGATGATAACAGACATGACTCAGAATCGAAACCAGTGATGATCATTCTTCAGTTTTCGTATATCTTCTATTACTGATAGGTGAGATGAAAGTAGTTAGTGCT